CCCCAAAACCCCAAAACCCCAAAACCCCATGTTGAAAAATCAATCTCAATTAAGAAAATTAATGAAATTAAATAAAATTAGGAGTCAATGCTTTAACTTAAACGTTTTAGCCTCAATTTATACTCAATCTAAGAAGCTGAGAGAGTAAGCAGCTAATTAACCAGGTGGTAAAGCTTTAATGAATTTGACGCACTTATGAAATGCATCTTCTCTTACATAGTATGGCTTGAAAGTATCAAGCTATCTAAATTCAGAAACATATCTATAAATAGTTGGAGCACTTTATCTTATGTTTAAACCTTTAGATATCTCATCAAATGCAGAATTCTCAAATAACAATAATCTCTCAAAAATCGGAATTACGTGGATATCTGGCATTGTTGGATGACTGTGTCCAAGTAGATACTTAGATCCCTTTAGATTTGCTTTAAGCCAATCTTCCATTTCTTTGAGTGTTACTGCTGCATAAGTCTTTATCATTTCAGGATCTTCTCCTCTGCTTCTGTATAAAGGGAAAAATGCTGAGGTAAATGACCCAATTTTCTCCATAAGTAATCTTTATTAGGCTGCAACAACAGCATTCTTAGAGTATAATTCTAGTCCTTAGTCTTTCGCATAGTCATTAGCAAAGTCCTAGATTATTCTCGATTCTAATAAAAATTAGCCACTAGGAAGTTCGACAAATGGCAAAGTTCCTCCATTAACATCGACATGCCATTTTGCCTTGTTCTATAAATCTACTTCACAATGCTGAAATTTAATGCCTTTTGCTGCCCATGAAAGTCTTGCTCTCTCACTAAACAAGCAAAGATTGTGACTGTATAATCTAGGGAAATTAGGATTAGTTGGGGGTTTGGGTGTTTCACCAGAGGCATATCTCATTGGCAGTAAAAATTCAGATTTTCCTACTAAAATTGTTTTTTAGTTAGAAACTTGCTTGGCACTTGAGCAACCCATTAATACTAGAATGTATTTAATTTTTAATTTGCTTAGAATAGATGTAAGTTTTTGAATATAGATTAAAAAAATAATTCATATTTCCTCATTCTTATTACTAAATGGGGTTTTGGGGTTTTGGGGTTTTGGGG